TACTTCTAGTAAGACAGTCTGATAAAAATGTAGATGCACACGTTGATTAGTTAATTCTACTAGAGCAATGTTTGTACTTAGGACTTATTTTAGTAAAATTCAAATGCAATTAAAATGCAGGAAATCAGTTTAGTGAAATGACACCATTTTTCTAAAGCTGCTGGATATATAAGGAAAGATTAGAATGTGCTTTGCATTTAAAACTGATTAAACTGTTAAGATGAAATTCACCTCATAGGTAACTGTATAGCCTCTAAGATTTTAGAGCTCACAGGTCTTAGCTTCTCATACTTAATTCTTACTAGCAGTTTGGAAAATAAGAGCAGTCCAGTGGTCTTTTCAATACTAATACTGAATTATGAACTCTTCTATACTTGTACAGGGCATGGCTGTCAAACTGCCTGAATAATTTCAGCAACCTGTAGTGGCTACCTAATCATTTACTTCCTTCAGCCATTTCTATCTTTAAAACTTTCGCAGCAAACATGTACTAAGTGGCTTCTTATTTACATTTCTTATACTATATGTTGGCCTTATTACAAAGTGTCAATTTCAGTTAGCTTAATTTTTCAGACAAAAGAAGCATTTATATTAAAAAGCAAAGTATTGGGTTCTAAAATAAATTTGTGATGTTAGGCAGGGTGATTTGTGAGGTGCGTGAAAGAAAATGTATGCAAAGTGATTAGTTAAAACTTGGTACATGTTTTTTTGTGTGATTATATATCCATACCAGAGGGGACTGTCCTACTATAATGGTCAGCAACAGTCATAGTAAACGCAAAGGGAAATACCTTAATTTCCCAGCATATATATATATATCTGAATAAACATGATTTTTTTGTGACATAGTCTTTGGGACAGCAGAAAAGGATACATCTCCTTTACAAAGGAAAAAGTATTACTGCTTTGAATCACTGCAAAAAAATGCAACTACATTTTGTATTTGAAGTGCTAAACTAGGAATACCAGTGATATTACACTGTTAATGTCAACGTTAATGGATTTAGAAAAGAAAGATTTAAGACATCAGACTTTAAAAGGGAAAAAACAGGTTTATTTCATGCAGTTTACAATACGCTAGTGTTATGAAAAGGAGGTTAAAAAAATACACACACATTGTAATTGTATGTTTGTTTTAAAAATGATGGTTAACTGTAACCATCTTCAAATTATTTGGGAAGCCCTAGCAGATGTTTTATGCAGGGAAATTCCCTGGATTCAGTTTCTTGTCTATGTCTGTGTTAAGAGTTTTGGCTAATGCAAACGCATTAAAACCAGATCAAAACCCAAACTTTGCTGCAGTAAGAACACTTCAAAGATAATGAATTGGCACAAAATAAAGTGTTATTGCTAATCCACTATCCAGGAAAAAGCATGTTGTAAGTATGGCCACTTGGATATTAACACAGACAGCTGATGCGCAACTAATCTTGAGACCAGTGATTTGGTGGGGGGGGGGAAGAACATCTGTTGAATTGGGTAGGTAGGCCTAGAGAGTCCATAGGAAATCGATTTTTCATAGCTAGGCTCAGGTGAGGCTCAGGACAGAAGCAGGTGGAAATAGTTGCCATTTGATACTCCTTCAGTTTGGTGATCCTGTTTCAGTTCCAGGTAGACAGGTTGGCAACATTTCTCTTACCGTGCCTTGGCACTTGCTTCATCCTAGCAAGTACACATGAGCCAAGTTAAGTTTGAGTAAAGTTGTGCATAAGCTTTTGGAAAAATCTATAAAAGGAGCAAGAATCATGTACATAAATACATTAACTCTTATATTTCAGATGACCAGGCCTGGAAATCTCAACAGGTGTTAAGTCAGGTCAAAATGTAGGCTCAGCTTTCTGAGGCAAGGAGAGCACTGTCACAGAACCTCCTCCCCTTCCACCAACCCCCAAAGTAGCAAAACAACTTTCTAAAAAGTTTCTCTCATTATAGTAGTTATTAACACACAACATCCTAAAGAGAACCCTTTGATGGGCCCAGAAAGCTATGTTTGCAGCAGTATCTATTCACTGAACTTTTGAGAAGTTTATGCCTAAGGGTAGACCTTCCTAAAGCAAAGGACAGCTAAGTTGCAATGAAATATCCAGCAACAATTTCCTGGGGCAGAATCCTCCTCAAAGTCTCTCTATTGCCAGTGCTGCTCATAAAAGTTGTTAGATTTCAGCATAGGCCATAATAAAGTGGTGGGTAAGTGTACTATCTTCTCTAGTGTATTCCTTACCAAGCTGGATACTGAAATTCCAAGCCATATGTGAACACTTTTATCTGCAATTGGTTCAGCCATTTGTAAAAATCATTTTAGAGTCTGTGAGTTGAAAGAAAAACAGACTAAATGCTTTTTAAACGTTATGTGTCTCTGGAACTTCAAATTAGCCCTGGAAAGGATTTTAGCCCTTAGCATTTCTGCATTGAAAATGGAAAGAGTTCCTTCTGTCTGACACACATTTAGGCAAACTGAAAAATAAGATCTATTTAGCCCTTTAAAGCCTCAGTTCAGTAAGAAGCCTTTAAAGACAGCTCCTGATTGCTGTGAGCCAAAAGAAGTAAAAGTTATGACAATGAGTTCAGAGAGCCTTCCACTTTTTTTTTAAAACTAAATATTTATACTATCTTAAGAATCAATAATTCTACACACAAACCCAGGTAAGATCCTGAGATTGTCCTTAAAGCTGGAGATAACTGCAGTCTAAACTATAATGAAGTAACAGGCAGCATCCTCGGACCGTATGTATTTCAAAATTGTTGTGTTAGAAAAGACTTCTCCAATGACCACTGGAAGTTTTAATCCTACCGTCCTGAGCTAACAGGTACTGTTAAAGGCGTAACAAAATCTCATCTCTTTTCAAGGGCCCCACCTTTCAGGGCTGATGGAAGAAGTTACTTTGAAAAACTTGAAAGATGCTTTTGATGTAGTGAGAGAGAGAATAAAATAGGAGAATGACACTTTCTGATTTTATCACATCTCAAGTGAATAAAATCTCAGGCTTCATCTCCAAACTCTCTTTCACTTGACTTTGGTCTCCATGAAAAGCCCAGTAATTCATTTTTCTCTCAGTACTTCTCAAGGAATGTATTCCAATATACCTGAATGATTGGACAATACACATTATAATCCAGTTTCTAGGTAATTTCATTCAATCAGATACTACTGCATTTTTGCATTCCAAATTCATTTTTGTAATACTAATACAAATATTAAATTGTAATTAATGTGTGTTAATTTGCTGGTTAATTTGCTCTCTACTGCTCAAAAAGAGACTGACAACTCTCAGCAACCTCAATAGATGTTCACAGAATAGAGTGTTCTGTTCTGAGAAGCAGTTTTCTGAAAACACCATCATCCTGCTCAACAGACCTGCTCCCTAAGCATGCCTGCAATCAAGTTTTCTTTTGTTTAATCTGCTAGAAGTTTTCATTTTTCTCCTGGAAAAAAACCCTCTCTCAGAGAAAGAGGAGATTGATTGCATTTTGGTATCTTCAGGAAATAGTCCTGTTTCTAATCAGTCATAACTGTGCATTCACATTGCTAGAAATGGAGCTACACAGCTATTGTCTAAAGAAAATCTGAAGACAAAAAAGTTGGATGAATACATCGAGCACTTTCTTAAGAAATATCTTTTACTAATGCTACAATGAAAGGTGAAAGGAACTTTTATCATTACAAGAAATCTAGCTGAGTTTGAAAAAAAGACAGTACATTTTCCAACTTTTCTGAGTACATGATTCTGAGGACTGAAAGTTCAGTAGAGAATCAATATAAGCTTCTAAATACAATCAAGCCTTTGACACACAAATTACTGTGGGATAACAATCTGCAATTAGCCGTAATCCATGGAAGCCCCACAGTAAGTGGGGGTAACCTTTTGTCTTTTGTTAAAAAAAAAAAAAATAAATCTATTTCACATTTACTGTGGGAGCTGCTGAGTCAGACTATACTTTTGGACAGTTATTATGGACGAGGTGACATTCACGTCTTAGAGGCTTCAGAATGACTTGTTCATTGCAGATAAACTCTGATTTAATTGCTGCTTGAAGAAGTCAAAAAAATGTCATCTCCAATACAGAAAATTAGCCTCTGACAAATCTTAAGGCCAACAGTATGCTATCTGTTTCCTAACTCAAAGCAAGAAATTTCTTTGGTAAATTTGAACTTCTCAGTTTTTAAACAAGTTTTGCAAGAAGTTTGTCAGGTAAAAGCCTTTAAAGAATTTCACTGAAAATCCACTAATTGTCTGCTGAAGTAACCTCCTGTTCCATGGACAACACACCAAACAACTTCACTGAATATTTGTATAGCAGAAGGGTAGAGTTAAATCTTTCGTAGAACTTACATTTTCATGAGAAGTCACCTCGATTAACTGTTACGTTTTGGTATCTCCCCCTTCCTGCTTTATTTCCTTCTGCTATGATCTCTTCGTGCTCAGGATCTTAAATTCTAACCTGGAATGCTGTTTTGATTTAAGAATAGAGGAGCTGTGTAAATCCAGAGTTCACATAAAAGGCTTTTGCAGCATAGGTTTTCAACTACAGCCCCCTAGTGAACCCATCAGCTTTACATAGTCACAGGCAGTTCTCTGGAGGTAAATACACTCCCAATGACAGAAAAGAAACAGACAAAGGACTCCAGTTTAAACGATATCGGTACATTACCTCATCCTGCAAGATCTTAACAGACAAAGCAATGTTTGCAAAACCTGGTGATGTAGATTGGACTCTAATGCAATTATCTTGTTACTGTAGCTAACTTTATTTGAAATTACAAGAGTCAAATAAAAAGAAACCAAACTTATTTAGGGATCAATTCTTAATGCCTTGAAAAAGGCATATGGTAGCACTTCCATCTATCTGGAAGCCTCAAATGTTCACAAAAATTAAAGCAATAATGACAGTAGCGGGAACAGGAAAGTAGTTAGTTCAGGTGGTCTCAAACAACAGCATATTTAAAATAATTTACAAGGTACCTGCCTATTGAAGTTCTCTTTTTTTCTTTTCTTTCTTAAGATCTTTGTGAGGTATTGGAAACAAAGTGCAAAATGATTAACCACTCATTTCCCCAAAATTTGCTACAACAGGGATACAATGTAAACTAGATTGCAGGTAATCTCACCATAAAAGCATGGTTTTAAACTGAAAATACTGAAAAAACTGAAAACAACATACTTGGAAAACCCCACTCATATTCTAAATTTGTTCAGTTTGCTCAGTTTGTTAGTCATGCTTTGCTGCTGTCATTCTTGAAAATGTCACTTTATGAAATAAAATATTCTGTCTTTTTTGGGTTAAATAAGAGAGACAACAGAAATGCTGATTCAGAAGGATCATTGTAAAGCAGATATTTTAGGCATTAAAATCCACTTAGGCCAATGCCAAATTACTCTGTAGAGCACATCAAGAAAACAACAAGAAACATGGTTGGCTGCAATTCCATGAGCTATGGAGCTCACAGAATTCAGTGGAGTCATACTGTTTAAAAACACAGTGACGACTGCAGCAGAGGAAATGTTTTAATATGCAGTTAACACAGACAACTGTTATTGTTATTTTCAGATACACAAGATAATCTCTTACTATTTAGGGGAAATTTGGGTGCTAAATTTAAGCTGATAAAATATGGGTGCCTAAAAAAGTATAAAAGTATAAACATTTCCCCCTACACAATTACATTTTCAGTAAATTCAATTCAGTTTTAACATCTTAAAAAAAGACAAACATTTTATGTGGTGTTGTGGAGAGGCCAGCAGCTTCCTGTGCAGACCACATCCAAGTCGCAAAATGCATTACAAACCCTTTCAAGCATTAGACGCATGGACAAAACATTTAGCCCACTGCTTAACCTGCTTAGTAGAAATGGTTTTTACAAATTGTTTCTGCCAAACTTTTATCAATGTATAATAGGTCCTTTTAAAAAAAAAAAAAAAAAAAGAGTAGACCCTGGGTGTTTGAAAATCAGGCTTTTGTGTAAAGGATTACCTAGAGTATATGCATAAATTCTGAAGTTACTGAGAATGAAAACTGTAATGTCTTTAGAATTCAAAACAATCTTGTAGCTTTTTGAAACTCCCTTCCACTGCTTTCATAAGTCAATAAAGCTGAGTTTTATACCATCAATTTCATTAAGTGTTTTAAAGATGTGCTAAAGATTTTGCTCAAAACATAGTGTATTAAAAAGCTCCAGTCTTGTATATTAGCCTTCATCAAGGACAAACTAATGAAGCTGCACCAGATGTTTTCAAACAGTGTTCTTTAACTGCATAGTTGAAACAGTATAGAAAGAGAAAGGTTGATTACAGGTATCCTGAATGTCTGAAGTAATTAAGTTTTTCAATTGGATGAGCTTGTGTTCACACTCAAGGTTGATTTTAATCCCAGTCAGAGAGATAGGGATCTAGGACTAGCCAGTCATATTTCTGTACAACCTCCAGCTCTTGAAAAATCTCTACCATAATCCACAGAGTTCAATGCTTATAGGCATTTTATAAAAGCACAAACACAGATATAAGTACAAACATCTCAAAAGAAACAGAATGTTCAGTTGTTCATTTTAAGTGAATTTTGATTCCCCTTCCAAACATCTGGCTAAGACTGGAGCATAACTTTTGCAGGAGGAGACTGTTTTAACAGAAGGAACACCAAGAATAACTCAGATGAGTGCCATTTTCTCTGAGTTTAGTCTTCCCTTTGGGTATTAAAATATGCTATAAATCCAGTCAATATATACACCCTTCCTTTAGAGAAACTTTTGTCTGTTGTGTAACTTTTTACATGCTAGTTTCAGTTGATCTCCTAGGCTGTTATTACATAATAGAGTATGTCACAGAGCCATAAGGAATGTGCAGTATAACACAGTCGACTGGGGCTGCCACTGATTCTGGAACAATGTAGGCCCAAATATTTGCATTTGTGGGCTGTAATATATGTGTGTGTGTGTGTGTAGCACCAATTACATTGTCCTTTAAATGTTTACAATGATTAGTACGAAAATGTCTCCGAACTGATCAACATTGGGTCATCCAGCACCAGACATTAAGTGCTACATGTCTCAGAGGAAAATACGAGTGCATGGTCATTTCTTTTCAAATGACCAGTGTCAGTCAGCCCACAAGAGAGTACAACCATGCACTTACAACCAAAACTTAACACACACTCCCACACCATCTATTTCCATTATGTAATCTTGCAATGCTTTCAGCCAGTTGACACCAGCTTATAGGCAAAAATGGTTGAACCCAGATCAACAGAAAATTGTCTAAATCAGATTTTTTTCTTTTGCGGACGAGCCTCTTCAGTGTGACAATTCACTGTGTCTTGGAATAAAAGAGAAAAAAATTGTCACCGTTCAATACTGTCTTCACATCCTGGAACCTCGTTCTTGCAAAATCTGAAACAGACCAATAAAAATTCTATAAATGAAAATTCGCTCAATGTGTTTCCTAAATCGTGGAGGTCAAAGAGCAACATAATGACTATTTCAAATAACTGATAAAGTGTCAGGGAGCTGGTTCAAGGACATTCCTGAAGTCTGTGCTTTACGGCTGAGAAAAGACAGATTGATATATACAATGTCTCCTATCAAACATCATGAAAACAGATGTAAATCACTGCTAGGAACTGAGTATGATTAATATAACCAAAGCTTAAGGGTTGGTAGATGTAAAAAGTAAGCCATTTCACCTCATCCTAGTTCTGAAGATACTGAGGACCTGTATGGTAAATGAACTCGGGTACTTTATTAGAAATTGAATTTAATCATCTTTTTCCTGTTCCAGTAAGATGTCCTTAACTCTCTGAAGTTTCAGCTGCAAATTGTGTCCCATAAATTAGTACTGAAAACATGAACTAGCAACTCAAAATGTGCACAAATAGCACACTGAGCGAGATGACACAGGAAGTTTTCAAAGGCCAAGAGTATGAGCTGGCAAGATTCAAATCAACAGACTGATTTAAAATCTGAAATAGATGCCGAGGCTTGGTCTTTTGCATGAACTAAAGTCAACCAACTACACTTCTTCACAGATTTTTACTATGCTGTTCAGACATACAAAGCTTATCAGCTGGACTGACCAGCTGTATGAAAATAAGTACTACTCTGACAGCAGTTTTAAAATATTTTTACATTAATATTATCTGCTCATGCAAGATCTCACAAGTTTTTTAGGCATCCTTGTCCATGTGAAAATTGTTTCTGTGGATACAGAACATAGCACATTGAACTTTTCATACATTACCTTGTCCATCATCCTTTGAAATGCCCAAGCCAGGCAGCTGAGAGGCAATGCAGGCTCTGACTTCATGCGGAGGAATATATTTCTCAAAAATTCTGTCTAAGGAATTTGATTCTCCCACTGTCACCAAGGAACTGAGATTCCCATTACAGTGAGTAAAAGGATTTTCTTTTTTTTTTCCTAAAAGCAGTTGGTTTGTTTAATATTCACTTTAAAAGGCATATATTAAACATAGGGACTGAAGTCTAATGGAAACAAAATATCTACCCCTGAAAAACCTAGGAATCCTTGTCTATAGCATCTTACAACATGAAGACCGCCTGTTCTACTTCCAATTTGACTATTTCTTTCCTTTTCTGTTTCATTTCTCTTTGGCTCCTTCAGCGAGTAAAGCATGCAAGTCTTAGGGTTGACTGTCCAAGCAACAATGTTTCTCATGTTGCTGCTCTAAACTGAATGGCAATGAGCAATAATGAGGTCAACTCTCGGGCTGCGTCGTACTGCAGGGAAGCCTTTAAGCAAACTGTAGAACCAATCGTGACAGTAGCCAAATAAAGCAATAAGCAAAGCTTCAAATGTACTGAGCACAAGTACTTAACAATGTTAATCTGTCAGTAAAAGTATCTCTAATGATACTTCATTTTCTTTTCCATCTTGACAGTTTTCCTAGTACTGGGAAGGGCTCTTGATTTCAAAAAGCTGAAAGAAAGCAAAGTCACAATCCCTGGACAATGGCATAGCTGTCTTCAATGCAGAATTTCCTTCTATGAGGATTTCAGTGTAGTCTGGTATTAAGACAACCACCAACAAGGAGGGGCTGGTGAGGAATGTGAAGCTCAAGGGCAGCCTGGGCTGCAGTGACCACAAAATGGTGGAGTTCAAGATCCTTAGGGCACCGAGGAGGGCGCACAGCAAGCTCACTACCCTGGACTTCAGGAGAGCGGACTTTGGCCTCTTCAGGGATCTGCTTGGTACGGTGCCATGGGACAAAGCCCCGGAGGGAAGAGGGGCCCAGGAAAGCTGGGTAATATTCAAGGATCACCTCCTTCAAGCTCAGGAGCGATGCATCCCAACAAAGAGGAAGTCGGGCAAAAACGCCAGGAGGCCTGCATGGATGAACAAGGAGCTCCTGGCCAAACTCAAACACAAAAAGGAAGCCTACAGAGGGTGGAAGCAAGGACAGGTAGCCTGGGAGGAATACAGAGAAATTGTCCGAGCAGCCAGGGATCAGGTTAGGAAAGCTAAAGCCCTGATAGAATTAAATCTGGCCAGGGACGTCAAGGGCAACAAGAAAAGATTCCATAGGTACGTCAGGAATAAGAGGAAGACAAGGGAAAATGTGGGCCCTCTCCAGAACGAAATCGGAGACCTGGTTACGCGGGACACGGGGAAGGCGGAGGTACTCAATGACTTTTTTGCCTCAGTCTTCACTGTCAAGTGCTCGAGCCTCACGGCCCAAGCCGCAGAAGGCAAAGGCGGGGACTGGGAGAATGAAGAGC